TATGCAATTTCTTTAAAGATAATACAGCGCGATAGTATTTGGTGGCAACCATTTGAAAAATGATTCGCTGTTTAGAGTGGACGACGCAAAATCCCGTTTTTAAACAAATATCCCATTCGGGCTAATGTCCGTTTGTGCTAATGAACTATAATTTTTTTCTAAAATACGGATTTTAGAATTAACAACGTAAACATATATATATTCATGAACAGAATGTGAATACAGCCACTTTTTCTCAAAGTCCTCCATAAATATTTGCTTCTATTTGGGCAGATAACTTTTGCAAGTTTTGCCATATTCCACCAAACTAAGTGATACAAATATTTAAAAAAAAAAAAAAAAAAAAAAGACTTTTTTTAAAAGATAACGCAGGAAATTAATTTCAGGGCATTTGTAAAATACGAGTACATTAGTTTAACTCGTAGCTTGGCATTTAGTTGTCCGATGATTTACTAGTCCAAAGTAATACTGAATGCAGATATATCTGTATTTTAAACAACAGAAAAATAGGAAGCTGTGATTTTTAGACATATATACGAAAATTGATTTTTTGAAATTATTTTAAGTTAGCCATGTTAACATTTCAGTATGTAATAAGATATTTTCGTTTTTACTTTCCTGTACCTTGAATTTCTCTCGCTCTTATTACTATCCACTTCTGCTCCTTGGACCTCAAAGCATATAATACTTCTGGAACTGCGGTTTGTGCAATCTTCTACAGCAATCAAGTAATCATCGTTCAGTCTGTCTTACCAGGCGCAATGATCTTCAGAATGACCGAATTACCTTGCGTATTCCCCCTCCTAGCATTTTAGTCTCAGATTCTGAAAATTAAAAAAATATTTACATAATTTTCTCCCATCTCAGGACGTTCAGAAAATGAGCTCCTCGAAATTTAAAAATAGGTTCGTTCACAGTGTTATTGTTTTATTCATTCTAACAAAGAAACAGTTTCACATTGTTATTGTTTTATTCATTCAAAAGACAAACCTTCCCACACTATCTGCGAAACTTTTAACGAGCCTAATACAAGAAACCTGCGAAACCAGCTTAATACAAGAAACGATCCATTATAGCAACGCATACACCGACTGATATTCACTGTAAAATTTTTCTACGTCAGCTGCATTCTGTAATTAAGTATTTATGGGTGATTTAAGACCTAAGGAATAGCAGAGACAGCAATAAGAATGGACGAAATTTGAGTTATAAAGAAATAAAAATGAGATAGCTTATTAGATGTTGTAATTACGTGCATTCTTAATGAAATTTAGGTTTCTTTTAAAGAAATAATATTATGATAGTTACTAGTAGTAGTTTATCCATGATTACTTTTCATTTGTTATATTCTTACTAAGAGCGTGTCCTTATTAAATTATTCGCCTAATTTCCCCTCTAGATTTTCGGATGATAAAAAGGAGAGAATATGGCATCAAGAGAATTAGACATCTCTATTTTCTTGAAGCTGTTCACTGTTATTGTTTCATTAATCATAGCCCATTCACCCAAAATCCACGAGCAAATCAGTCAGTAGATGGAAACGACCACTACGGGAATGAAAAATATTGGGGTATTTGTAAATCATTAAAAATAATTTAGAACCTTGTGCTAAAAGAAACGCAATCACTTAATGTCCTAAATCATTATTTTTGATAAATACCTGGCGAGATGTAGGGTTAATTTAACTCAGCGTATGCAACAGTAAAATATGAATTAAAGTTTGAGGATATTAGGAAAAACAATGTGCATATTAATGTTCAGTAATGGTCTGTAAATAAAATCCACAAATTATGAATGCTTGCAAACAATTCAGTACGTATTTTATTTCTTGGGATTAAGAAACATTTATTTAAAAATCCAGTTTGCTCATAAGTTTCTCATATTAAGCAGTATAGGGTCTGCTTACATATACCTATTAGTGAGTATATAAATTTCACACTTATGCTTATCACATTTATACTAAAAACATGATTCAGACCCTTAAAAATAATTCAATCGAAGATTTAAATTTTTGTTTTGCCGTTGAGAAAGATTCCTCTTTTCTTCTGATTTTAAGCGAGGATAAGATGCCTGAGAATCGCTGGTTTGACTTGGATTAAAATTCAAGCCAACTGGTTTGCTATGTGGAGTTTATATATGTTCATATGTAAGCCCCATGCATAAGGTAAATAAAAACTAATTTCAGGCTAAGCAGAGGTTGAAGTGTATTCAAGTACTTTTTATCTAATTACATCGAGGAAATGAATTTAGGATTAAAATGCTTAATTATGACTTCCTACTCCATTCACTAATGTCATTTGTATCTTCTCAAAGTATTTAAGTTAGATGTATTTAAATTTGTTTTCTATGAAACTCAAATATGAAATTATACTTTAATTAAAAACTCAATGTTAAATAAAGTGTCTTCTCTTTTTTATACATTTTATTATTCTTAAATGAAGGATTCGAGTATATTTGAAGATTCGTATCAATGAAAGTTCAAGGTTAAAATGTACCAAGGAATTTCGGGTTAGAAACGCCCTCAACAAACTAGTTAGTAACAATATTTCCTGAAAGTGAAATGCAAATGCCCATCTGTCAATCTAGTATTTCCTTAGACTTATTACTTTGCAACTGCGGAGTAAAAAAAAATTGTTCACATATAAAATCTATATAACTATTCATAAATGTACTTCCGATCAAAGCATTATTACACTATACTGTCGATTATCCGGGTGCGAATTATCCGGTTTGCCGATTTTCCGTTCGTGGCGGTGTTCATGCACGCGCACTCGACGCAATCCGCGAGAATGTGTAAAAAACAAACACACACAAGTCCGAATATACTCTAAAAACCACTGATGTGTCTTTAGATTTAGTTTCAACGATTTTCTCGTATATAGTTCGTTCTACTTGTGCCTAATCGAAAACATTGTTTCGGTTTTTTTTTTTTTTTTTTCCTTGGTTTGTTTCGTACGTATTTTCGTGCATATTTAATTCTTATTCTTTCAAAAATTGATTTAAAATTTTAGAAGTAAAAAATGAAATCCGGTAGAAATCGAAGATTTATTTAATAGTGAGGAAGATGAGGCACTAACTGAAGTTGTACGCAAAAAAATTGAAAATGTAAAATTATTCGAAAATGTCGATCTGGAAAACATCAAGAAATGGTTCAATGGCAATTCGAGTGAGCAGGGCTTTCAGTGCTCGAGCGATGCGGATATCGTTTCAAATGTTGCAAGAACAGAAGAGGCAGACTGATACTGAAACTACAAGCGAAGAAGATACTGACAATTTCAATAGTCCGGAAACAGCAATGACTTCTGTTGAAACTCTACTGCAGTTCGTCGACCAAAAGGGATTTGAATACAATGATTAAGAAGCAGTGAAATTTGACAAATACAAATAAATTTGACAAATAAATGTTCTCAAAATGGAAGTAAAATTACTGATTTTTTTTAGGAAATAAATACATACAGTATGCAGGAAACTTGATAGTTTGGATTGTTTCGTGTTTTTCAAATATCCTTGACCTGCTTCCCCGTCATTAGTACGGATAATCGAGAGTACACTGTAATTCGTAACTGAAGGTATTTATTCATCTTTTGATAAGTAGGCAAAAAGGTTAATTAAATCTGCATCTTCTAATCCTGGATAAGAATTATATCACAGTAGAAATAAGATTTATATCATAGTTGAAATTAATTAGCTCCAATTATAGATTTCTCAGGGTGTTACTCGATTTCGTTTTTAATGGTAATGAAAATAATGTAAAATTGGACTCAAAATATTAAACCTTTCTTTAAATTTTTATCATAGAAATTTATGTCATGTCTAATTAGTTTACAAGAAATGTATTCACGGGTCGCGAGTCTGAGAATTTTAGTCTAGGGATTAAGAAAGGTAAATTATTAAACACTTTTGTTCTTAAAAATTTATCTTTCAATTCTGTGAGAATACAGATAATTTTCCTTGATTGTTGTTGCTATTTAGTTCGTGTAATTCAAAGAAGAATAGCTGCTAAAGCCTCCAAGAGGTTGGACTTCTATTTCCCCACCCCCAATTCTGAGATAGAGCATCCCGGGGACGGAGAATCGAGAAACTTCTACTTCCTCTCTCCTACCACCAAACCACATGAGAGGACTTTTGGCTTATCATATACTTAGAGTGTCCCCATGCCGCAAAGACACTATACATTTACAAACATCCATGCCTTCTCTGGGATTCGAACTCGGGCTCTTTGGTACCACAGTAGGCTTCCCTAACCACTATACCTTTTGGGCGGCTTTTCCTCAATTTTTGACTACAAATCTGAATAGAGTGCAATAAAAGTAAGCGGTAAGACAGTCGACACTCCATTACGACAACTGTTCTATAACAGTCACTGGTGCAAAAAAGTCTCTCTGATGAAAGTATATTAAATCCCCTTTCATTACAGCGACTTCTTTCGTAGAAGCAAGAAGTCGTTATAACCAGTGTCGATTATAATACTATGACTTTTGCAATGAAACGAACAGACCTCACAATAACATTATAAGAAGGAACTTACTATAGTGATAAAAACTTCTTTAGTCAGAACTGTATAAAAACATAAAAGCAGTGCTAACTGATCAAGGAAAACAAAACATTAATATCTAACAGAATTTTCCTCTAATTTATTTGTATTGGTCTTATCATGTTTATTTCTCTTCTAATCTTCAACTGACCTTCACTGTTTTGGTGTACAAATGTTATGAGATACAAACAGCCACGCATACAAATATCATCTACGCAGTTGATAGTGATAAAGATTTCAGCAAAATCGCACATTTTTGGTTCTATTTTTTTATAATTCCTTAATTAGAAACCACCTGGTGTTGTTCTCAAAGATGCTGTTGGTCGGAGGATCTTCTTAACGTCATTCCGGTGGGCAGGACTTGATCTTAGTTGTGAAGTGGCTCCACCCATTTCCTCCTTCTAATCAGGGAAGCGCGGTAGACTGACAGCTCCTACGAGCGAATAATAATTCCGATCGTTACCGGGTTGAGACACACCCAGTTTTCAAGATGAAGAACAGCGCCAAGAGTGGGATCAACTATTTAGAAGTTTCTCTGAGTTGTGATACTCGCTTAGAAACCTAGGCGATCAGCGAAAGAGCTGTGACCTACCAATCCTGAAAAACGATATTGCCAAGAATTAAAAACTTTCAAGTAAGACTGATTTCGTTATTTTTTTATTAATAGTTTATGATTTCATTTTATAGGAATTTACCTATGCGTATCTTTATTAAATGTCTTTAAACGATAAATCTGGAAAAAACATCTTAGTTTTTATGCAGAAGAAAATATCTAGTAACAACAGGAGTCATAAGGATCCTAATGTTTAACGATAAGAAAAATACAAGTTAGATCTTCTGAAATGGTTTGTAAATCTCTAGCGGCAGTCTTTAGGTACCATTTAATGTAATTTCAAGTAAATGCTTTTGGACATTTATCAAAGTTAAATGGCTGAAATTAAGACAAAAGTATAGAAATATATGTTGATAACATGACAAAAGGAGACTGATTACAAACCTGAGCTTAATTTTCCAAGCATATTTTAAACATATTCATATACATAAATTATGATGTAAGAAACAAAACATTAGTTCTTTTTTACTTTTACAGTTTTTCGTTTTATTACTTTCTTTAAATATTGGTGCAAAATTACTACTTGTGATTATTTATACATTAGTCGTTATTTGTAAATTATGCCCTTAAATTAACGATACTTTATTTTCTCATCAAATAAAAGTAGTTATAGAGCGAAAATTTAAAATCCTAGAAGAAATTATACGTAAAATATTAATATTTCTTGCGTTTGGTGAATTAGTTTTATCTAAATAATTTATTATACAATTATTGGCCCAAACAGGCTTTAGCCCAGAAGGGCTATTAGTCTCGCAACGGCATTTTGCGTTGAATCGCTTTGAATGTCCGAATCACCTTTCAGATTGTTGTCACCAAATATTATCACCCTGTATTATATTTAAAGAAACTAAATAACGAAGAATCTACATGAATGTAAGTACGTTTCTAGCACTGTGAAAAAGCAACGATACCTAGATTCAACAAATTCTGAATGACATAGTCTTCCACCCGAACATGGGCACTTGGAAGACCGAATTAGGAATTTCGAAATTGTTTTATTGTCTATTTCCTGTTTTGTAAAACTTTAACGAATTTTTGATTAAACAACTCAAGCAGTGCCGACGATGTAAAGAATAAAACATTTTTATCTCCAGCGCGCAAGAGACTCTATCGGAAATTCTAAAGATCTACTGTTTTTAAATATTTTTAGCACGATGCGGTGCTCGCGAAACGTGTATTTGTGTCTAAATGAAAAAAAAGCACCCTTTTGAGCATAATATAAAGTCTTTTATTATTAGAATTATTATTATTATTTCAACCTGAAAATAAAACAGTGAGACTAGTAAAAGAAACTGGAAAGTAGTTTTTATTATTAGTAGTAGAAATAAAAATTAAAGACAAATAAAAATGTTGAATTTTGCCGCATATTAAAGTTAAAACACATTTCTTCCATACTGCATGTAGCACTTATTAAATTTACACGATTCTCAATAAATTCAAATGCATATTTTGAACATCAAATATTATGATGTTCTTTTTCACATTCATTCGTCAAAAAAAAAAAAAAAAAAAAAAAAAAAAAAAAAAATGCTGCCCTGTAAAGATGTTGCAACAAAGTTATGCACTTACCAGAATCATTCAGAGAAGGTTTGTTGCTTTGATGCTTCGAATCACTAATGTGATAGGAGTTGGAAGAAAGATGAAAAATGAACTGGAAACTGTCTTCATCACGGACTGTAGATGCTCAACTTTTACAATGAGACAAAAACAAATTCTTTATACCAATTTATGGGTCAAGTGATCAACTATTTTATTTTAATGGATTTCAGCATTTTCATTTTATGGTTAACTTATTTTGTTTAATTTGATTTTTTTCTAAATTTTGGTTATGAGTTAAAAACCATCTCGTAGTTATGGTTTAAAAATTTCCTTGAGACACCAACAAGAATTTCTTTAATCATCGCATTTCGTTTGCCATAATTTAAATATGTAACTGCTATTTGGTCTTGTTTCACAGCCGAAGCTCAATGCAGTATAAAAAAAATTATAGCTGGAATTTAAAAACTTAGAAGAAAGAAATGTGGATGAGTGTAGACAGTCTATCATGCAAATAAGTTTTCCTATCACCATATTTCGGTGTTGGGCATTAACCATTCTGTTTTCACGGTTGTCGATTTGCAAAGAAAGTTTCGGGGATCTTCAACGAATCTTTAAAACTGCAGTACTGGCGCGAACTCAGGATTTCAAAAAAGCATGCTAGCAGAATACTACGGATCTTTACGGATGCTACATCGTTCTTCATTTCCATCATCGGCAAAGACTGTAGCGATGCTGTACCCAAGCTATCTGATATGATGAATAGCATCACACCCTATTTAGCGATGGTGTATTCTCTATTTGAGATATAATGCCTATTAATTGAGCTCGGTGTCGTCGTGGCCAGTAGTTGTTCATGTTGCCATTTATTATTTACCTCTTACTGGCGTGAGCTCATGGCATGAGGTTCTGTCAGCATCACTTTTGCTATGCATATTTGATACAACGGCTCACTTTTATGGGACCCATTTTTTGCTGTGTCTTCAGAGAGCACACTTTTTGTCTTCATAAGGAACACCTTTTGTTGTGTCATACGGCTCTCTTTTGTAAATGGTATATGCGATAACATGTGCCATTTTTCAACGTGCATAGGCAACTTAAGTAGACAATCTGTACAATGTGTCCAGGTGCATCATTGGTCATCATGATCTTTAGATCTTTTTTTATTTGATAATATATAGCAAAATACTGGTTTTCGAATGAATGTCTTTTATCAGATTTTGTAAGAGGAAGAATGAATTATGATGTGGTGAGCAGTTTTTCAATATGTATTCCGAAGATATGGACATTTATTTTCACATCGCGTTGTCGAATATATTATTCGACATGGCGACCTCTAGATCTTTTGGATCAGGTCAAACTGATCATTAGACTGATGAAAATCTCAAAATTAAAAGGATTGATTTGCAATGTACTCTGCTGCATGCTTGCGAAGTTTCATTTCCCTTTTGTTGTTTCGAAGCACTTTAAGATTTACATTCGGTATATCAAAATTTCTAACATTTCAAAACTATTTGTTTCAACTTAAGCTGTTTAAAATCATTATTAAATATTGATAAATACAGTTTATGTTTTCATAGACCTCATATTTTTAGCTTTATATGTAATCATTTATATAAATATTATTTGAGTAAAATAATGTTCATGCTTGCCATAGAGGGATTTAAAATTACTTTAAAAAAAAAGAAAATAAAACTTGATGCTAATTTGTATTCAGATTTAAATTCAAGTATATAATTTCTAAATTGTTAAAATTGTTGTAATAATAACATGCAGTACTCCAAATTTCTCAGTTGATGTAGCTATTTAAGGCTTATAGTTATAGTGATAGCATTTGAGAACTTTATTACACTGTAGAGACATTAGGTATTTTTTGGAAGCAGGCAAGATGAAAAATATGCAACGCCTTCGCTGGGAATCGAACCGCGGACCCCTCAATACGCGCTGAGCGTGCAGACCACTACACCACGAAGGCTCGCTATGAAAGCGGAAGAAATACCTTATAACAGTAAAATAAAACAGTATTAAACTATTCTTTTAGGGGAACTTTCATAGCTAGATATTAATAACGCTCATATACATTTTGCTTTTGAAAAAGTATCCTGAAACATATTGATTGGTTCTTTAATTAATCACAACACAGTATTATTTGACCATGGTAAATGAATCCGTCATGGATGATTTCCTTTTTAAGAAAAAAAAAATGTGTATTTATGTTATTCATATAGAAAACCACAAAAGCCTGTGCAGTTAATCCACTTGGTCATCGAGAATCGAATCTAAGACCGTGTTCTATAGTTTTACTGCTTGGCCGCTTGAATGAAATATTCGTGCTGGATAGGTGATATACAAAGTATATAGGAACATAAGAAAAGCTTCATTTTTGAAAGAATAATTATTATTGCACAAAAAACTATAAAATCATCATTTTTTTTTTTTTTTTAAAGTAAAAGATTAGGGGAAAGTACATGCATAAAATTTTAGTTTCATTTTCAATATATTGCTTCAGTTAACAGCATTCTACGTAAATTCAGCCATACTTTTAATTTTTAAGTCTGTTTCCAGTTTATTGGTTGATTAACTATTCAGCGATAAAAAATGAACTTGTTCGAAATTACGCAGAGCATACTCCAAATGTTGCAAAGGATTTCAAAGGCATTCCTCCCATGAATTTTTGCGATGTAGTTGTCAGCATACCCAGCTAGCCGTTGGAAGGTCTCGGGATCAATTCCAAGCAAGAGCAGAATTGATTTAAGCTCTCGCTCACAATAAATTTTATAATTTTACGTTGGCGCCTAAACTAAAAGAAGTAAGCTCTAAATCCATATTACTTTTATTTAGCCTCTATGCCTTTTTGAGGGAATTAGCCCAGAGCCACTCCAGTCGTTTTTTAAATATAGGATGGGAAAGAAAAGAAAGGCATTTTTTCCAGGCATATTTGGTATAGTTCTCAATACATAGAGCTAGCAACTTGATAGGTCTTGTATTATTTGTGTGTGACTAGTTTTTTTTATTTATTTATCTATTTTGGTGGATAAATTATGTAAACATTTTTTCAACCGGCTCTATAGGAACGCTGTTTGATTCTCCACTTATTATATGACATAAGATTCCACACCACAATTTAAATTTATGCAGCCATGCTTGCAGTTTAAAAGCAAGCTAAAACATAAAGCTCATATTCAGCCGAAGGGATTTTTTTTTATAAAGTTCTCTATGAACATAGGACCATTCACTGGATTATTGGATGCATGATACTGAATGAAAAATTTTAGCAAAATGGCTTCGATTTCTGACAACTTTACACTTTGAACACGCAATTTCTTTGAAGTGGACTGACTGTCCACAAATTTCTGCTCTTTCTTCCACTTTTTTTTCCTTATCATAAACAACTATTTTTAATGTTGTCACAGAAATATCCCCTTTCTTTACTAACTCGACTTTTGTCAAACTAATATTCTCATATTTTTTAAGATTTGAATTTTATCTTTTAACGAGAATGACTTACGTGACTTTTCGTGACCTTTTGTGTTAGTTAATTCTGCTCCACCTAGTTTACCACCTAGTTTAGAACATAGCTTCCTGTTCAGAAGACAAAAACCGTATCTATTTTTCCTTTCAGTTATTCTCTCAATTCATGAACTGGTTTTCAATCCCTGTGAAATCTCATGCCTTTGTTTCCTTCTCCTGTCCCCATTTCTGAGAAAAATGATTGAAAAGTGGGATTGCAAAATGTAAAACTAGGGTAGTAAGTCAAATAGAAGCGACGTATAACCGAAGTTATGAAATGTATAAAAGAAATATTTTATTATTAAAATAAATAGGACTGAATCAGGACCAAGATGAAACGACGTATAAATGAAAAAATCGTATAAGTGATAGATGTATAAACGGTGCTTCACTGTATTTTGAAACGTTACCATAACAGCAGCCTTAATAACGAAATGTCTGCTGTTCAAATAATGGTTTCGTAGTTAATTTAAAATTTTAGTATTGTAGACATTTAAGGTTTTGGAATGCCTTCGTATAAAAATAAAAGAAAGAAGCTAGAATCAACTCTCAAATGCTAGAATAAAAGAAGAATTTCATCTCCGGAAATGAGTGAAACTTGTAAGCGTAAGTTTCTAGTATAGTACGTAGTATACTAAAGCAGAAAGTTAAAATTTTGTGCTGACAAACATTCGCCGTACAGGCAAAACAAATACAAAAATTAATTTTTATTTAAAGTTTTGTCAGAGTGAAAGTTTGGTGAAAATTTAGTATCTCATAACACCCTTGCTTCGAAAATAGCTTATTTTAGAAAAACCTAAATGTGTAATATAAATTTTAAATTCATCATGATTTTACTCTAATATTTGCATATTAGAGTTCAAATATTATTAAATAATAGCTTCTAAATAAGTCGGGACTATAAATATTTAATAACTTTTAAGGAGCTTATTATATTTCAAATAGCTTCTATATGATAGATGTTGTGTTTTGCACATATTTTTACATAGTTACATATATATTTTTACGCATTGCAGCAGGAAATGCATTTCATAATGCATTACGAAACTGTGAACATTTTCATAGCTACAAAAATTGGTGGTTACCCACTAGCAAAACCACCTTAGGAACATGATAAAATGCTTTGAGAAATAATTTGCTGATAACTAGTGTTTAAGACTGAAAATCTTCTAAACTTGCTGACTTTTCGTTTTTCTATTTTTGATTGATAACTACATTTAATGCTATTTTGCAGTTCAGCATCGAAGCCTTTTTGGTGATAAAAGATACTTGTAAACTCTGTAATTTGTTACTGCTTTAGTTTTAAAAATTATTAATATTACTCAGTGTTAAATTTAATGTACAGTATTTAATCGAGTTATTCCAATCATTTAATTATGCTTCCATCCTAATAAATATTAAGAAAGCTTTTGAATATAATACAAAGCAATTTCGTTTATTAAAAAAAATTAATAACTTTTTGCATAAAAATTGGAATAAGAAGTGAAAATTTGCACTGGAAGAATTTCTAAGTAAAAATCATAATTTTCAAAAGCGTCCACTGCAAAATTTTCTCCATTATTCCACTTTATCTTAAATGTCTGATTTTATTTATTTATTTCCCGTGTCGTTAAAGCCTTTCAGATACTTTTCTAGGAAAATATATGAAATTTTTTTATGTGCTATGTATTATTCTGTAAACACATAATTCAGGGTTAAAAAATAGACTTCTGAAAGTGAATATAAAAGTTAAAAGAAACGATGATTTTTAATAGAAACGATGATTTTTAATAGATAAGATTTAAGATTTTGAATTTAAATGTAATATTAATCATTTAATAAAGCTGTAATTTAAGATTCTTACCTACATAGCCGATGTTTCTACCAAATCCTGTTCTTAAATCTCTCACTTAAAATATGAATTCTATGCTCATATGGAACTGTTATGTCTTTCTACATTCGCGAACTGAAAGATAAAATATGAAATTCAAATTCCGATATTATTATCACATAACACTTTCTGTAATGCCATATAACTTATTAAGTTTTTAAGAAAAATAGGTTTAGTTCGTGCTGAAAATTTTATATACCAAAATATTTGTTGAAATTAAATGCCAGCTTTAGGCTTAGACAGTGCAAAGTAAACAGAGCGTTCATCTGCATTCTTTAAATTTTTGTCTGTATAAGGTATTTCTCCTGCCTTCTTAGCATGTCCTCGTGGTGTAGTGGTCAGGACACTCGGCGCGTATCCGAGAGGTCCGTGGTTCGAGTCCCGGCGAGAGCATTGCTCATGTCACGTCTCTCAGCATTTAAAAAAAAAAAAAAAAACCTAATGTCTGTACAACTCTTTCCTGTTGAGTTCTTTCTAATAAGGTTTGGAATATGGTGTATTAGTTTTAAAATTGTAAATATTGTTAGCATGTTATCTTTTTAAATACATCGACGTTCTCCGACTTGCAAAATAAGAGTTAAATTAAAATGTTATCAGCGACTTTTTAGCTATTCATTACCTCATCAAAGATGGTAATGTAAATGCCATCTCTATAAAGTCAGAGTAGGTAACATTTCAAGAATAGTAAATTTTATATCATCCATCCCTTTTACTATTACAAAGAAAGTTTTTTTCGGTAGATTTCAGTTGTAATTATTGGCAGTAAATTAAAATAATTTTAAGAATCTCACTTTTTTAAGGTCTTGTTTTTCAACGATCTTCACTAGCTAAGGTTTTAATAATTTTATTAAAAAGGTACTTACAAATTATCCTGTCGAGTACTGGCTGAAATTTCAGCAACAATCGCCAATCGTTACTGCGGAATTCTAAAGGAAGTGGTCATCTAATAATTGGCGCTAAATCGCGCTACTTGGTTGGTCGATGCGATAATACGTAAGTACCCATAAAAAACCTTATTTAATATTTTCCATGAAATCAGAAGTTATATATAGCAGGAAAACATAAAAAAAATATTATTGCAGTCATAATATTTAAATTTTTTGATATTACAAATGCATTTACTAGCTACTAACCTCACCAGCCGGCCGAGCGGTAAAATCGCCAAACGCTGGTAGTTTTACCCAGCTTCAAATCCCGGCTGGCTGCATGGGCGTTTTCGTGGTTTTCCCCATGTATAGCAGGGATACGAGTCAGTTTCCCTTAAGTAAGACTTCCACAAAGAAATCCCTCTCCTTAGGCAGATAAGCCTAGCGTACTTTGCCGTAATCAAAATAGCCAGCCATTTACAAGCTAAAAGGAAGACAAGAAACTGATTTCTGGTCTCTGCTAAAGTACTGGTGTCATCGTCTAAAACAGGCTTTCTTAAACTTTTTCCAGTCGCGACCCCCTTTAATCACTGAGATTTTTTCGCGACCCCCAGAATCCCATAATATTTACAAAAAATTTGCGGGACCCTATAAGAATTGCGCAAATCCGACACAAGCGTGAGTGAAACTGTCAATTTTTTCATTTGTAGTGTAATATACTATTGCAGTTTTAGGTCATTAACTTTAATTTCTAATTTTAAGACAGAACAATGTGAAAATTTTAAATAAGTAACAGGTGGAATGACAGCGTAGCGTGCAAAGCAAGGAAAATGAACGTTTATATTATAAAAAGATGGTGTGGTGTATTTAATTATGGCAAAGCACACTAGGGCTATCTGCCTAAGGGGAGGGGTGCCTTTCGTGGAGGACTTTCTAAGGGAAACTGACTCGTATACACGTTACACATGGGGAAAACCACGAAAACACCCATGCAGCCAGCCCATGCAGCGGGATTCGAACCTCGGACCGAACTACCAGTGTTCAGCGGCTTTTACCGCTCGGCCGCTGGTGGGCTATATTATAAAAAGAATGTGTCGAAACGTTTTAGTTTTTTCTTTGTATTGTCTTATCTTTATCTTTTCAGATACATTGTGTAAAAAATATTTGGTAATTGTAAAATTATTATAATAAGTTAAAGAAATATCAAAACTGCTAAAATTTTGGCGACTGCCCTGCTGAAAGTCCCGCGACCCGCCAAGGGGGTCGCGACCCATAGTTTAAGAAACCCTGGTCTAAGAGATGTTGGTAATGATTCCTAATACACTTGTAGAAGACGCATGTAATGCAACATTTTTCATGATAATTGGTTCTTCCAATGCATTGCTTTAAGACAAAATCTACAGCCTATTTGATATTTGCATCTGGTGCATCAATACGCTACCGAAAGGCTGCTATTTATAACAAAAGACGAATTCCAAGGGCATGATACTATAAGATGGTTAGAAGCGCAAATGATGCTATCCCCACACAGATAATGAAAATTGTCCCAAATTTTTGCAGAAAGTGACAGCTATTTAGTGAATCACCTAAGTAATAAGTTTCACTTTACACTTCGATGTGAAGTCAGTTATCATTTCCTACCATGACACAATAATAGGTGTTTAGGTGTTTTGAAATTATTTTTAATAGTAATATTAGCTGACGAGCTGACGGTAAAAACCGTTGAACACTGGTAGTTCAGCCCGGGGTTCGCGTCCAGGTGAATGGGCTGGCTGCATGAGCGTTATGATGGTTTACCCTGTGTGTAACATGGATACGAGAGAGCTTCTCTTAAAAAGTCCTCCCCGGGGAATCTCTCCCTTGCCGTGTAGTGCCTAACAGCGAAGCATATAATAAATAAATTAATAATAAAATAGTAGTGTTATAATCAAGCACTACAGAAATTTCTACAATTCTGGACCCACCAAACGTTAAAAGGGGTGAAACCGCTAAACAGTGGTTGTTTCCGCGAATTTAAAACCAAATAAAGAGACAGAATGAGTGAGAATTTTCGTGATTTTCATGTGAGCAAAATTAACATGAGTCAGTTTCCTTTAAAAAGTCTGTATAGAGACTATTAGATTATACCAGAAAACGCAGACTATAGACTACACAAGAGCTATTTGCCGCCGGACAGATGCTCCTCGCGTGTTTTTTCATTATCAAAGTAATCCAGTCCGCATTCCTGGTTTTGGCAATGTTATTGAACATATTACGGGCACATAAGAATAGCATCTGAAATACTCGTAGATGTTTCATGTTTCAGATCTTTATGTATCACTATATTTGGGGGGGGGATCAAAATGCATTGATAAGATAGATGACAGATATGCAATTAGTATACACCGTTGAGGAATTTAATATTTTGAGACATTACTCTAGAAATTTTGCTCATATAATATAATCGATCTGATTATAGCGAGGTTGGGAAAGAATATTATTCATCCGTTTCACACATTAAATAATTTAGTTCATACCGCATTCCCCATCTGGCGATTGGGTGGGCTGGTTGCATGAGAATTCTACTGTTTGCTTTACTTGTAAGCAAAAAAACCTGCGCTTGGTCTACAAAGGATTGAATTAAAGCTATTATGAACTATTTTTAACAAGTTTTTTAGAAAGATTATCTTATCCTAGTAAAAAATTGCATAAGGAATTAAAAGTACTATTAGCCGAAAGGAGTGAGAAAGTGTATTATTTTATATTATTACTAAAGCTGGAAAATTTTTTTGGCAAATTTGATTCTAGAAGGGAGAACGGAAAAAATAATTGAAGTGTCAAATAATACAATAGGGAAAATATATATAAGCTATTAATCATCCTCTGCTTAATAATTCAAATAGAACTTTTCAAGGATTAAGTATTTAAAACATTAAAACCGGATAATGAATAAGTGCTGAATACATGTTTCGTTCTTCCTGCCACTTAAGAGATCCATACCGCTACTAATTAATTGTTCAAAAATACTAAATAATATTTCTTTATATCTCCAAGTGAAATGAAACTACCCCGACGTGTCTTCGGCTCTCGATTGGTAAAATGCAGATTTTAAAAAAATAATATAAAACAATCTTAATTGAAGAGCAACATTATACAAAAACACCCGTAAAAAGAAAAATAGAATTATATGTTTCTCAAGTTAATGATTTCTAAAAAAGCGCGAAACAGTCCTAGAAACAAGGTTATTTATTAATTAGAGCTGAATTATATTTAATTTCAAATTCTCAACTTGCTATTAACGGAAGAATTTAAAAAAAAATTTAATTAAATTAAAAAGAGAATTTAAAACTAAAATAAAATGTAAGGAAAGAAATTTAGAAATGCCTATTACTCCTGTTCTTGCTAGAATACTTTAAAATTGCAAACAGGAGAAAAAAGGAAATGGACTCACGTCAGTAATTTGCGTGAGTGTGGCAAAATGGCTAAAAACTTGTTTTGATGCTTGAACGTTGGGAAAAGAGCCAACTGCCATATTCTATAAAAATTCTTCAAACTGCAGGAAAATAGGAATGTAGAAAAATAGGAAAGAGCTATCTTATATGCAGTACAAAAGGTCTTTGGCTCCTAATCTACATTTGTCGCTTTCTTTTTTGGCGAGCAGTTTGGAATCAAATTTTCCAAAAATGTTTCCAGCTTTAATAATAGTGTAAAATAATATAAAGTAATACACATTCTCCCTCTCTTTGCTAGTAATACTTTTAATCACTTATGCAAATTTTTTTCTAGAATAGGATAATCTTTTTAAATAAATATACATATATATGTATATATTTTAAGGTAATTACGAAAAGAAACGTAATAATAGCCTAAAAAATTAAAAACAATTTTTTTAAACCCATCCTGCTCTATAGCTGCAGGATTAAAGTAAAAAAAAAACTTAAAGCATCTAAAGTTAATATTAAATTGGAATCAAAGGAAGGCAATTCCTCAATTAATAACTGTAACCATGTATAAGATTTTTAACATAATATTTAAACAAATCAAAATTAAAATAAGAATTCATGGTAGAACAAACTCGAAAAACTTCCATGCGAAAGGGTAAATATACAAAATTATAAAATTATACAAATTATAAAAATTGAAATAATTAATCTCCCTTTACTGAAACTCCAATTCAGAACTCATAAGGAGAAAATGAATTAAAGCTTCAGAACTGTCGATTAGTATGTT